CTCCCTGTTGGGCAGCTCTATTAGGCATCCCTCCTTTGCCTTTGTCAACATCAGCAGGATTCCCAGGTCCACTCAGTCTCCTTCACCTCCAACTAAGTGGAGATGGAGGTGCCCAGGCCTGTGGGAGGGCCTGCGAGTTTTCCCACAAAGAAGTGCCACTCATCTCAACTGTTTGATCCCATTTAGGATAATCAAGGGATACTTCATGTCAGGTGTGTCCCAAAGAGCATGGCTTTGATGTGGATAGTGCCATAGTGCCATATAAGGACCCAAGGAGTGGATAGGAGGGACTGTCATCAACTGTCTGAAGAATGTCAGAGTATAGAGGGTACCTACTTCTTCTGCAGGGCCCTGTGAAGGAAAGCAAAGATAAAGTATAGGGAGTGGAGTAAAGAAAATGCTTTCTAGTGAGACTGTCCAAAAATGAGGCAGGAAGCTCTGGAAGGTAGTAATCTATCACTAAGGGTTTCCAGAAGATAGATGCTGTGGATCAGTTTATCAGATGCTGGAAGGCTATTATGGACAGGAACACAACTAGGTGATTTTTCAGGACCACTTACACCTTTGAGATGACAGGATCTTTGCCTTCTAGATGCACAGAAGTCACCTCATTCACTAATTATTTCATGCATTCATTCATTCATTCGTTCATTCCACAGGGGTCATCTAAGAACATATGAAGTACAGAGCCAGCCCTGGGTTCTAAAGATGTGATTATAAATAAGTTACTACCCTTTCCTTGGAGGAGTCCATGGCCAAGTTGGGAGACAGGAGTTTAAATTACTGACTATAGAGAAGTCCATCTAATAACAGAAGTACTAATTCTAAGTAAGAATACAGTAGGGTGAGGGAGGGTGAAAAAGTATTTCACAAAGGAGATGATGCTTAAACTGGGTTTTGAAGGATACATAGGAGTTTCCAGGCAGATTCCTGTGAAAGAAAATTTCAGGATGAGAGACTAGCGTGTGTACATTTTCAGAAGTTTGAGACACCTTAAAATTAGCATATTGGTAAGAGGGTGAGAAGTAAGACTGGAGGGGCATTTGGGATGGTGTCATTAAAGGACCTTGTGTTAAAGAGTTTGGAATTTATTCTGAAGGCAATGGCAAGGGGAGTAACTGGGTCCTATTCACATTTTAGAAAGATCTCTCTGATTACAGTGGAGAATGGATTGGAAGGGACAAAACCAAATCAAGAGAAACCAGTGAGGAGACTCGTGGGAAAGTATTTCTCCAGGTAAATTCACTACTTGCAAGAATCATGGCTGCACATGAGACTCACTTGGGGAGCTTTACATGCCCCCAATGCCTGAGTCCCACAACAGAGTCTGACTTAACTGGTCTGGAGTAGGGCATTGGTCTGGGGAGTTTCAAAGCCTTCCCAGGTGATCCCAAGGTGCAACCATAAAGAGACATTGACTGTAACCTAAACCCTGGCATATAGTAGGTATCTGACACAATTTTTTTCCCCAAAAAATTTCAAGACTTTATACCACTTTTACTTTAGATAAACAGTTGAGTTTCATCATAGATGGCCTCTGGTAGAAAATTCTACCCCCAAAGTGTGAGCTCAAAAATTAAGAAATCCAGTGTTAATACTGGATTTCTAGCAACTTCCTCCTGACACACAGAGAATAGACCTGAATAGTTGCTTGAGAGAGCTGGGGCTACCTGGCAAGGATGAAGAAGGAAGTCAGGGGCTGAAATCTAAGTTCTGAGAGTTATATGCAGGAGAAAGAAGCATTTGCAGTCTAAAGGTGGAAAAAGGGAGCAAGAGCAGAAAATTGCAAGATAAGCCTCACATTTGTAAGATAAGCCTCTTTCCATCTCCATCACAGCTTCGTCACACCCAGATTTATGAGAGATCAGAGCCTAGAGCCCAGCACCTGTTTTACATCTCCTCCAGGATTCCTGTTTAAGGGTGCTGGACATGCTAGAAAAAAAAACTGATAAATTAATAGCTGAGAAGGCATTTTATTATTCCCAATCTAAACCCTGAGAAAAACTGGAGAATATTCCTGGAAGCTAGAAAGCCCAGGCAAGAGCCTCCTACTATCTCCCTCTAATGAATCTAAAATGGCTAGATAGCAAAATGGGTATCAGTTCTACATGCATGGATGAGGATTGTGGTCAGTCCTCTAGAATAAAAGTCAGCAAACTGTAGCCAGGCTAAATCCAGCCTAACACCCATTCTGTAAATAAAGACTTGTTGGAACATATCCTTGCCCATTTGTTTGCTTTTTGTCTGTGACAGTTTCTACTCTACAACAGTAGAGTTGAGTATGAGTAGTTGCAACAGGGACTCACTATCTGACCCATTACAAAAAAAAAATAGTTGCCAACCCCTGCATTAGATAAAGACCCACCCAAATTGGCTTAACACATGGAAGACTGAAGCAATAAAGATGGCACCAGGCATGGGTATTGGCTTCGTAATAGACAGTGGTCCTGCCTGTTGGTATGAGGATTGTGGTCAGTCCTCTAGAATAAAAGTCAGCAAACTGTAGCCAGGCTAAATCCAGCCTAACACCCATTCTGTAAATAAAGACTTGTTGGAACATATCCTTGCCCATTTGTTTGCTTTTTGTCTGTGACAGTTTCTACTCTACAACAGTAGAGTTGAGTATGAGTAGTTGCAACAGGGACTCACTATCTGACCCATTACAAAAAAAAATAGTTGCCAACCCCTGCATTAGATAAAGACCCACCCAAATTGGCTTAACACATGGAAGACTGAAGCAATAAAGATGGCACCAGGCATGGGTATTGGCTTCGTAATAGACAGTGGTCCTGCCTGTTGGTAAAATATGGCCCAATGAGTGACTAAATTTCTGACCAAACTGGTTACAGGCCCTCCTTGCTTAGGCTGGATCCAGGAATAGATGGGCAAAGGCAGGGCTGATGAATTAAGATGAGTTAATTAAGATGAGAGCTTCACTCTCCCCTACACTGCTGACAGGGTGCTCTGTAGTCTTAGGATGGTGTAAAGTCCGTCTCAAAAGCAATGCCAGGGCCCGGAACATAACTTTCAGCCTGTAGTACAGAGGAAGGGTAGAGACAGTAATCAAAACATGATCTGACCTTCATGCTTCTATAGCTTCTCTAAAGCTGTCCCCACTCCTATAAATGTTCATCCTCCCTCTCTATGAAAGAATAGACTGTACCCTCCCCTATGTTTTCATGCCCTTTGGCTTGTAACTCCTATAAATCACCTCACATGTTTGTTGACTTGTCTGGCTTATCTGTGGCTGCCATCCTCTTACACTGATTGATGCCTCCCATCTCCTCCATCTCCCTAAGCTGTTGATGTCTATGTCAAACCTCCTACTCAACATCTCAACTTGAATATCTAATAGCTAGCTGCAACACAGCTGGTATATTAGTGCTATTGTTACTATTTTAAATATGTTAAGAAGTACACCATGCTCAGTAAGTGTTAGGCACTTTACTCCAAACGTAATGTTTTATTCTTGCCTCCTCAATTCTGTTTCTCCCCCAGGCTTCTCCTTTTCAGTAAATGACATGTCTCTCTACTCAGGTCTTCAAGCCAACAATCTAGGGGTCATTCTTCACTCCTCTCTTTCCTTCACAGTAGATGTCTTGGTGCCCTGCACGTATCCCCTTCATACTCATCATTCTCATTGATGCCCTCCTAAGGGCTTCCTCCTGTAAGACCTTATGACTTTTCACCTCAAGCTTTCCTTAAGGCAAAAGGATAGACACATTCTGTCTGCAGGGCTCCAGTGTGGAGCTTCCAAGAGTTGTCCTTAACCAAGAACATATGGCAATTGATGGATAAATACCCCAACTCCCTCTCTCCTCTGGTGAGACAACTCTGAGGGATGAGGTGTGCCCCTGGAATTAAGCCCTATTTGCACACAATGATAACTAATTAATGTAGCCTACATTGGCTTTATTCCCTAGATTCATTCACTTTCCCCATTCTCTTACCTCATTGCCTCTCAAGAAAACTACTTATATTCAAATCTTTATCTCTTATCCACTTCTGGGGCAACCCATATTAACAATAGTCCAAGTGAAAGATACTTCTCACATGTCCACTGCTTACAACCTGGTCAAAGGGTCCAAGATATTGTCATCTCTTGTTTGGACCATTGTAGTAACTTCCTTATTTCCCTGCTTCTTCCCTGGCCCTCCACTTGTCCATATTCCATATAAGCCAGAATGCACTTCATAAAATATAAATCAGACCAGGTACACTCCCTTGTTCAAAGCCCTCTAGTGGTTTCCCATCATACTTAGAATAATACCCAACTTATTACCAGTAATTACAATGTCTTACATAAGCTGGACTCTTCCATCCTCTCTAGAGGCTTTCATCGCTATTCTTCCCCTAAATCCTGCAATATGGTCATTTGGTTTCAGCCTTTGCACTTGCTGTTCCCTCTGCCTGGAAAACACTTCCTACTTTTCTTGACCTGACTTGCTTTTTCACATTATTAAAGCAGTGATTTAAATATTGCTGTCTCAGAAAAGCCCTGCATTATGTGTAATATGAAATAATTCCAATTTCTCATCACTATCCTTTTATCCTGTTTTAGTTTCTTCATAACATTTTCACTACCTAGAACTATATGTTTTTGCTTATTTATTTGCTTATTATTTATTCAGTCTATCTCCCTACAGAGTGAAAATTCAAAAGGAACTTCTCTATTTCTCTATATTCCTAGTACTTAGAACAGGGCCCACTACATATTAAGGGCTCAATACTTATTATCTGAGTATATAAATAAATAACCCTCTACTGAACCAGATTGTAAACTCATGACGCACAGATGATGACATCCATAACATCTGAGTCAATGATTGAGTGACTAAGTCTATAGAAGGCCCAGAGTCTGTGTTCTCCCCAGGCTCCATCTAAGGACACAGACCTGTATACTAACTCACTGTTCTATCACAGTGAGTCTCATTTCCCCTGTTGATTCATCTGCACTTGCATAAACAAGCCACTCTAACCATTCTTTTCTTGCTTTTTAGGCCTTACCAGAGGGGCAGACAGCTTCGTGGGACACAGCCAAGGAGGATGAAAATCGCAATAAGAATCGATATGGGAACATCATATCCTGTAGGTGCCCTTCTGGGAGGACCTAAGCTTCAGACTTTGGGGACATACGGGAGAAGAAACTATAACTCCTCTTTATCTGAGATTCATTCATTATCAAATAACCCTTGATATTTCCAGCTTTGGATCCACATGCTGAGCTAGGAGCATTATTTCAGCCTCTTGTCATACATGGCCTGGAGAACAAAGCATGGCTGGCTAAGCCAGAGGAAGCAGGTAGGGAGTTGAGTGCAGACTGTAGATCCATGAAGCCCCTGGAGGGAGAACCTCTGAAGGCTGGGCCAGCCTCATATGGCCTGCTCAACAACTCCTTGGGTGAGGAAGGAAGCCCAGCCAAAGAATTGTTGTGGCAAAGACCCCACAGCTGGACAGATGGATGAGCTCTGTGTTCCCCGAAGCCCCTCTAATTTAGAGGCGTATCTTGGAAGCAACTTAGAGTAGAGAGCAAGGTCAGCCCACCTGGGCAGAAGAATGGTGCTCCTCCCAGGAAGTAGAGTCTCAAGTAAGGGTTGCCACTCAGAAGGATCCAGAAATTCTGGTATAAGCTTGAGGTCAGGACTCAAAAGGAACCCACGGCTACTGTGGTCACTCAAGAGACAGGATTTAGGGCAATACAGATTTTACCTGAACACACTGCTGGGAATTCTAAGGTGAGGACCTGCACACATGGCCTGCATGAGTACAGTACTGCTGGTACCAAGCTTGCACAAGGAAAGCATGTTCTTGGGCAGACCTAGGGAAGGACATTGCTTTTTGCTCAACAACGAGTTTTACCATCCCTACAGGTGCTGCTGCTGAGTGACTTGAAGAAGTCACTGGTGCGTAGTAGATAAAGCCCTCTGAGGTGGATTCCCTAAGTTACTATCCCACCTGTGGGGCCCTAAGCAAGTTATCAAACTCTCTATGCTTGTTCCCTCATCAATGAAATGATAAAAATAACAGGGTCACCTCAAAAAGGTACATAAAACCCGTGGCATGGTGCTTGGTACCATTATTCTTATCCATAGGCGTATCTTCTCAGGATCACTGATGAGCAGCATGGATATATTATTCTACCTTATTTTAACCAGAATTCACTGGATACTCATGTGGGGACATGGAACAGGCAGGTTGGTGGAGAGAGACGGGCATAATCAGATGTTCTTTTCAGAACAATTGTTAGGGTAGCAGTTATGGAGGGTGGAATAGACTGGAAAAGGGTGAAGGCAGAGGAACCCATCAGGAATCTATTGCAGTCGTCCCAGCAAGGGATAATGAGACTTGAACAAAGGCAGTGACAGTGCTTGTGTGTGAGTGGCACATACATGCTATTACATTGCAGGAGGTAAAGAAGAAAGAGACTGCCACAGGAGCAAATACTATATACAGATAATATACAAGTGTTGTCACTGCCAGATATTAGTATATACAGCCTTTAAAGCAACATAACTACAGAGAGGCAAAGTTATACAAAATGCTGAGCACATAGTCCAATTAGAACAAGAGTCAACAACAGCCTTGTCTGATGCCCTATAGCCAGCCTGGACCTTTGGAAATCTCACCAGTTGCGTAGAGAGCATTTCTTGGTCTCAGCTCTCAGAGTAACCCAGTTCAGCCTAAGCGGGGGTAGAGAAAGATCCTGAAAGACAAATGATTTCTAGCACAGTTTAGTGTTTTTGTTTGTTTTGTTTTAACTGTCTAGACATTGCCTAAGAAAAAGCTTGGAGGATGAAAGAGTAAGATACAGGCAGATTGTAAAGGAAGAAAGAAGTAGAAGTTTTAGCTTAGCTGTTTCCTGTGCTGATTTAGGAATGGGCTATGAATGGTAGAACTAATCAGAAAACATCTATAATTTGTCTCTTGGAAGATAGTAACACAGACAGCAAAATTTATTGCAAGTGAAGTGTCAAAGAGAGATAGCCCCACAGTCAGCAAATGTGTGTTAAGCCTTACAGTGCATGGGCTTGCTCAGTGCTAGACACTGAAAGACACAGTCCCTGCCCTGAGGGAGCCCCCACACTGACCACAGGTGGCTCTGACTGGTCCTCACACCCTTTGCTCAAGCACTAGGCATACTGTGCCCTAAAAGAGCTGGTCACAGACATACTTTCCCTATCAGATTGTGAGTTTAGATAGAGTCCACTAAATTATGGGCTCTCTGACTTTTGGCAATCACTCTAATCCTTAGTCTCTGTAAATGTGCTTAACATTGCCTTCCTCTTAGAGATGTCACCCAGATAAGGGGGGAAAATGGCTAAAGTACAGGAAGAGACCTTGACTCCTTCAGGGACAAGGATGTCCAGACTGGACCATGTTCCCAGGCCACAGCATATAGGAGTTCAAAGGGGAGAAGCCATATTTGTGTCCCCAGTGCCCTCACAACCCAGCACTGCAGCACCCCTGCCTGAGCATCACCAGCTCTCACTTGGACTTGACCCAGGCTCTTTCCTGGTTGTTCCACAACAAATTGGGCCCCACTTGCTACCTCTCTGATCCCTGACAGAGCCAGAAGGGCCTCTCTGAAATAAAAATTCGATGATGATGTTTCCTAGTAAAAACCCTTGAAATGCCCTTCACTCTTGAGTTCTCCTTATTGAAAGACCTTCGGCTGCCTCTGTGGTCTCATGTCAAACTAGGTATTTTCCATTGCAGCCTCCTTAATGAAGCCACACTGGCCTCGTTTAGCTGGTGAGCTTTTCATGGCCTCGATGCCACAAGGCCTTTTGCACATTCCGTTTTCGCTGTCAATGTGCCCCTCCTTCCTCTCTTTGCCCTACTAAAGTCCACTTATTCTTCAGATTTCAGCTCAGTTTTCACTTCCTTAGAGAATTCTGACCATTATTCACTCCTAGATCACAAGGATGTTTTCTCCTAAGTCTCCATAATCATTGTGACTTGAGAGTCATTTGGATGACTGTCATCAATGGCTTGTCTCCCTCACTAGAATGGATGCTCTGTGACAGCAGGACTATGACTGTCTTCCCTTTCCATTTCCAAAACCTGGCATATTGGTGCCCAGCAAATAGGAACTCAATGTAGAAAAGACCCTGAAGGGTGTGACCAGTTGATTTCTCCCTTCTGCTGCACCAATAAGGTAGAGAGAACCCAGAGAGGCTGTTTGAAGAAAGGCTGGATCAAAATGACAATTGCAATGAATATTCTAATAAGGAATAAAATACCAAGTTTGAATGAATAGGGACAGAGAGACAGGACATGGGAGGCATAGAAGAACAATCTTTCTCTTGGGAGAGCTGCTTCTGAGAAGGCAGCTTTCAGTCATCACTTCCTAACTAATAATGAATGGGATTAGAACTCCATCACTAGGGGTATAGACAATGCTGTCACTGTTCCATACAAATCCCACAGCCTCATCACCTCACTGTGCTGCTACACCCAGCTGGTAGAGTGGGAATTCTAGGGCAGGACTAGGGTGAGACCTGTGAGACCCATAGGGTACAGTATCAAGGATATCTTCTCTCAGCTATTAATCCTACATTGGCATGACTCTGAGAGTGAGCCTCTCTTCTAAGTTCCCACCCTGGGAACCTCGATTGTTTCACCCTCATCCTGTCTGTCTGGGTCTCTTTGCCTGAGGACTTTCTCCAAAGCTAGGAAAGGATGTGCTACCCAAGCACAAGACAGCTACAAATGTTCAAGAATGAGTGCCACAGGAGAAGCCCTTAATCATGTAATACCCTAACTTTTCACCATTCCACCAAAGAAAATTCTCCAACTTTCTCCAGAATTTGCATGGAGATGAGGCTGCAGTTACCCACCATCGTGACGGACTTGAAAACTAACCACTGGCTGCCTTCTCTTTCCTGTCTTACTGTTCCCTACCCTTATCCTCTTAGGTATACTTTCACTATAATCTTTGTCTTATATCTACTTCTGGGGAAACCCAAATGGAGGCAGAGAGAATTCAAGCACCTCAGTGATACAACTTGGATGAGTTTAAATTTTTCTAATTTAAGGGTCAGTAAGCCTGCAACAGATCAGGGCTAGAATGAGTCTGTGCTCAGTGCTGGATTCAAAAAGTTGCCCAAGACAAAGGGGAACCAAAACAACAAAACAAAAATGTTTTGGAATTGAAACAGGAAAGGTAAACGAGAAATAGCCCCAAGGAGTGGAAATTGTTCCTGCCCTTGTATGTGTCCCTCCCAGAGGCAAAACCTGCTGTGTCTTGATAAACAGAAATATTCTTGGCACAGGAAGAAAACCAGGTGTGATTAGCATCTTAAAGAACCCAGAGCACTGTGAGGCTGGAGCAGAGGACAAAGGCCCAGGCCAGGGAGAGCAGAAAAGATGAAAGGAGAGAGTAGGAGGGAGGGCACTGCCTGCAAATGAAACAAGAAAAGAGAAACCTTGGCAAAATAACCCCTTTCTTCCAAATGATTCTATTTAGAATTTAGTATTAGAGACAGTGGGGTTTCCAGAGAGTGGAAATAGAAAGGAAGTGAATGGGAAGGAAATGAATGGGGAAAATAAGAACAAAAAGTCCTAGGCTTTCAAGGGTAGAGACCTTCGACAAGGTGAAATTTCAAGAACATCAAGGCATAACCCACATGGAAGTTCTAGAGGTGCTTCCTGGGCTGGCAAGAAGGACACATGAGAAGAGGAAGGGATCACAGGGGGTGTAAATTTTATAAAATGGGACTCTTCTGGGCTTAGTTGGATTCCTAGCAGGAAATGATGGGAGGTAATCAAGAGATTTCTTTATTAAGGTGCGATCTTAGTATAAAAAGACTTTGAGGGATATTGTAATTCCTCAGGGCTAAATGATACCTTCCTCCTGGTCTAAAGATACAGTAGGGAGAGAATACCAGGGTCTGGAGAAAGAGAAACAACCTGAATAGAGGTGCAACCTTTACTGGCAATGCAACCACCCCTGTTACCCCAGCAAAGGGAGCTGAGTAATTAATATCTCCACCCTACTCTCTTTCTTCCACCCGATCTTCTACCTCCGGTTTCTGTTGGCTGAATCTGACTGGAAGGCAGAGAACAGGGGAATTTGTTGACTTAGA